CTGCCGCTGTCACTCACAGAAGGGCGGCAACACAAGTTGTAAAGAAGCCAAGGCCCCGCCTAGGCACGCCCCATTCTCCTGGGAGGGCCGCCACGTGCGTTACTTTGCTAAAAAAAACATTTTTCACATTTGATCTGGCATTTTTGAACAAAGAAATGCAGTCACAATGCCGCTACGTTGTACTGAAAATTAGCGTAGCGGGGGAAAATTGGCGTAGCGGGTCAAAATTTTAGCGTCGCGGGCCCCGACGCTACTTAGCGCTAGTTAGAACCCTGTTTACATTGATATAACTATAATATGAAGTAAAATACAACTAAAACAACAGTTGGATAGCTATTCCCTACTTTATTGGTTAGGATTTTTAATTGCATAATGCAAACTGTTGATTTTCAAAATAAATAAAAACGTTCATGCCCCGCATTCCAATGCCGGAGCAGAAAAGCTTGAAATACCTACCAAAACACTTGAATAAAGACATACTGTCAGTATGGAAATGCTCTGTGCAGGTGTTAATCAAGTTAAATCCCAACAGCCAATCAGCAAGAAATGCTCTGTGCAGGTGGAAATGCTCTGTGCAGGTGTTAAGTTAAGTCCCCAACAGCCAATCAGCAAGAAGTATAGAGGAAAGCTGCATGCCTATTGGTTGATGCCCTGCATTCCATTGTGATGACTCATGCCCAAACGTGGTAAACAAGGCACACTAACACAGTAATACATTTGCTATAACACAGCCAAAAAACTCAAATAAAACCATTCTAAAAGCCTGCATCACAATAATTTAAAAAACGCCTAGGGGTATTTGCCCACTGTACCTCCATACCAAATTTCAGGACCTTGGGCCCTAAAATGAAGAAGCTGAATCCATTTAAAAAATGGCAGGAGAAGAAGAAGGAGAAGAAGAAGAAGAAGAAACATCAGAAAAAGCAATATGGGTTCACCACCACTTCGTGGTGTGGTGAACCCATAAATAGAATGTACTCACCCGCCGCATGATACTTTCAGCCCTTAGCGTTGGAGGAGACACGAACACGTGAGAGAAATCTCCTGTGTTAGAGAACAAGAGTGTTAAAACATCCTTCGCCATGCTGGTTAAAGTATTAAGTTAAGTTTTATCTTGGGTTCACAACATATCATACACCTAAGGTACAAGACTTTTTTCACCGGAAGATACATATCATATTACTGTTACCTTTAGAGTGTCTCCTTGCTGTTTTCTCCAAGAACGTCCGCACATCCTCCGGAGATGGTCTGTCCGCCGGCTCAGCGCTCCAACACATCCATAGGAACTGGTAGATGCGGCTTTTTTCGTCCAGCTTGGAAAGGCAAGACGGCTGTTCAGTCCGCTCACCAGCATTTAGCTGCAATGTGTCATGATAGAATCCAGTTACAAACATTTGCACATCATGGAAGCCATCACTTGACACAAATGGTATTTAGATAGTGATATAATTCTGCGATCTTTTTATCAAGCAAGCTTACAGCTTCAGTTTTTTTTGGTACTTACATAGTCCTTCATTCCCCTGGGATCTTCACATTCTGGGAACGGATGTACCCCGAGCGTTAGGACCTCATAGATGAGGCACGCCAGCATCCACACCTCGGAGGCACTTGTGAAGATGTCGTGTGTCAGAGACTCCGGTGCTGACCAGCGGTAGGCTATGGGGTCCTCTGGGTTTCCCGGACACTCGTACTTCGTCCCCTGCCTCGCCTCACTTCCACACCTCTTCATGGTTCGGGCTAGTTCAAAGTTCGTCAGGTGACAGTGCATCTTGCCGTTGGGGAGGACACGGCACAGGCAGTTCGCCGCCATGATGTCTCGATGCACGACTTTTGCTTTGGTAGAAAGGTAGATCACGGCCTCAGATATCTGTCTGCAGGCATCGACCAACGTTACAATTACGTCGGTAGGGACAGCCCTCCGCAAGCCGATGACGTGGTCTATGAGAGTCTCCTCCTGCACCCGCGGTGTTATCAGGTAGGATGGCGGGGTTGGGCCATCGTGCGCGGCCAAGACGTTGATCACGTTTGGATGATTCAATCCTCTCAAGACGCGGATCTCTTTCCTCAGGCCACCAGACTCTTTACTCACCAGGTCTTCTCGCGTGCTGTGCCTTGTAACCTTGATCAAGACGTCCATGTCTGACATCCGGCCTTTGATTGAGATGGCGGCTCCGCCGCTCGCAGTCTGAGACTCTTCGACAGTCAAAATCTCGCCATCTTCATACAGATGATGCCTGATGCTTTTCATCATTACTGGTAACATTTTGGCCTGGTTGAGCTGGGGTCGTTCTGGTACGGGACCTCTTCGGGATCAAAGCTTTGCCTCTGACTGGTAGACGTTTCAGTAAAAAAACGGTCGGCAACTGCGCGAATGACAGCCTCATCTTTCGACATGAAACACAGAGGGGTGCAGAGGTCAGACACTTCTGATGCCACTTCCTGCCATTTCTTGTCTTCGTAGTCCCATAGCTGACGCAGACCGGTCATGTTGTTCGTGTAGCTGCCGTTGACAGCCTGTTCACGGATGCCTATGGAGAAAAGCCGCCGTCAATGAAGGTGTGATGTATGTAATACAACAGTTCAAAAAGGGCATGTTTTATGTTTGACAAACGTCAGGTATTTGGTGGAGTCTAAAGGTGAGTCCAGGCTCCAAGAGCGCAGAGGTATTTAGATAACACTATGCCTATTCTTTTTTTGCACGTGTGTAAACATGTACGCCTATCCTACCTGGGTTGGTATGGTTAGAGGCGATGTGGACTAAGATCTGGGTCCCCACGATGAGTAGTCCACTCCTGCACACCTTATCCATCTTCTTGGTCTTTAGGATGGCATCAAGTACCTTCTGCAGAACGTCTAGGAAGATGGTGCTGGCATCTTCCACTCGCATAACCTTCGAGAAGAAAAGACAAACATGTCATAGAAAAATAGTTGGATACCTTTTTGACTTCAGTGCAACAGGCAATATCATAGTTAGCTTTGTTGAAGAATCCAGAATATGATGAGATGACAGACATTGAGATTATAGCATTTGATTTCATATGTTAGCGAACCTTCTTCTTAAGGATATGCAGGAATATCTCAGTTGAGAAGTGCTTCTTTTTGTCAGTCGTTACGTCACGGAGAGACTTCAGTAGCTCCTTGTAGGTTCCTTCTGTCTGGTACTCCACCATTTGCGCTAGTTTCTCTACGTGCGTGAACCCGCTGTCCTTGCGTTTGGAGATATCCTGCAGGTATTTCACAGCACTTTGGGCAAACTGCACTGTGTAGCTGGCCACGAGCCCTTTGTTCATGTATGACTTAAAGTCTGTCTTGCTGAAGTCACTGATGGCCGAAAGAACTTGTTTTCTAGGTCGATGTCCCTTGTCCAGCAGGATGCCGAGCTGGTACACGAT